GTTCTCCTTTTTTTCATTAAAGGGGTGAAAGGCCTTTGGAGTTCATGAGACACTAAAATTAATGATGCATTCTAATTAAGTAAATGTTCAGTTCCTTTTCTTAATTGCAATACTGTACAAAATATAAGCAGAAAAGGTCGATTTGCTCCATATCAATTTCTTCAATAAAAATAAAAATCCTCCAACTCCCTGCCAGTCATTCTTTTGGTGGTCTCATTTTAAATCTCAAAAAATTTTAAACATTTTGCTAATTATTATCAGCTTCTGCATTGAATCTTATTGTGTTTAATGTCTTTTCTTCATATCAAGGTTAGTACTTTTCACATAATCTTCAAATTTAATGAACATTATGCACTTTCTCACAGCTATGTAAGTATTTGTTATACCTAAGTCAGCATGTATTGAGTGCTAATATGTGTGAGACTATATGCTAGTGGTATATTCTAAATAAATAAAATTATGTAATGCTACATACCTTTAATTCACTAGTTAATTTCTAGAAAGTAGTATTATGTCTATTTTTCCCTACCCTGATTTCCTATCCGTCCCCCATGTAAATGAATAGGAAGAATCAACTCTGCTGTTATTTTTTTGGGACAGAGCTTCACTCTGTTGCCCAGGTTGTAATGCAGCAGTGTGATTATGGTTCAATGAAGTCTAAACTTCCTGGGCTCAATCAACTCTACCGCCTCAGTCTCCCGAGTAGCTGAGATTATAGAGCACACCAGCATGACCGGTTAATTTTTGTATTTTTTTGTAAAGCCCATGTTTTGTCATGTTGCCCAGGCTGGTTTAGAACTTCTGGGCTCAAGGGACCCACCCTGCCTAGACCCTCCAAAGAGTTGAAATTCCAGGTATGAACAGCTGTACCCAGCTTCACCTCAGTTCTCGACTCATGAAAGATGGTGGTTTGCTCAGGACCTGGAGTAATGGAATGGCAAGGAAGCAAGAGTTTGCTGTTAAATCATCTAGTATCCTAGAGAGGAAAGAACATACTACTTACATTCTACTCTGTTCATGAGTCTTAGTTTTCTATTGCTGCTGTTACAAATTACCACAAGTATAATGACTTATAGTAACATAAATTGTATTAGTTTGCAATTCTGGAGGTCAGAAGTCTGAAATGCGTCAGCAATGTTTCATTTCTTTTGGAAGCTGTAGAGAAGAATCTTCCCTTTTCCAGATGCTAGAGGGCATCCTCCCTGCATTTCTTGGCTACTCTCCTCACTCATCCCCATCACTCCACCAATTCTTCTGTCCTCACATCTCTGACTCTTTCATTCTAACTCCCTCTTGTAAGGATGCCCCTGATTACATTGGGCATTTACAGCTAATCTAAGATAACTTCTACGTCTCCGGATACTTATTGTTTTAACATTTGCAAAGTCCCTTTTGCCACAAAAGGGGAAGTTATCACAGGTTCTGGGAATTAGGATGTGGACAGTTTGGGGGCCATTATTGTTTCTACTGCACCCATACTAGTTAATCATTAAAATCCAGTTACAAGGAAGGATTGTAAGGAAGTTGTATCTTATCATTTCCTTGAGTATTCTCATATTTATTATTTCTGTAAGTTGTTTCAAAAATTGTACACATATATACATGTCTATCGATAAGCATAGATTCATATATCCACTATGCCAATGAATGTGTTTTAGTTACTACACTAATAAATAAATGTTGGTAGTACAAATAATTTAGAAAATAATTATTTTTTTATGTCAAAAAATGTTAATTCTGAGCACTTTGAGTAGCAAAATGTTAAATAATTATAAACTAACAGTTTTATAATCCAGCTTATGATACTATAAATATTTCACTCTTCCCTAAATATATTTCATTTGCAGGAAGTTGACAGATGACGAATGTACACTTATATACATAACTTGTTAATAAAATATGACACTTTCATCACATTTCTTCAAAAAACTAGGAAATACAATATAGTGAATAAAAATAATTCAACAATGTCTTTTAGCAATTTTTATGGACTGATTGGTTACATCTTCCCGAAATTTGTGTGTTGATGCCCTAGTCTTTAGTGCGATGGTATTTTGAGATAAGGAATTAGGGAGGTAATAAGGTTTCCAGTGGAACATAATGGTGGGTCCCACATAATGGCATTGGTGCCCATAAAAAGAGGAAGTTATCTCTTTCTCTTCGCCACTTCCTCCTCCTCTACTTTCACACACCTATGAACTCGTGTGACCACACAGTGACAAGGAGGCTATCTGCAAACCAGAAAGCAGGCACTCTGTAGAAATCAAATCAGCTGGAACTTTGATCTTGGAATTCCCAGGCTATGTTGTTTAAACCACCCTGTCTATGGTATTTCGTTGTAACAGCCTGATTGAGCAGACTGAGATAGTAATTAGTAACAGTGCTTCAATTTCCCCAAACCTCACTTCTCTCATATTAAGGTAAAAAACTAACTTACTTCACAACATGGTAAAAGGATTAAATGAATATGGTGAATAGTAAGGTATTGATAAGACTATAAAGTCTTGTGCAAATGTCATGATTTCTAATATAATTTGGTTTATTAAGTCAAACATATGTCACATATTCCAAAAGTTTTTTGAAGAATGCTAAAATTTAATAACAATATTTTTAAATGTTGGATACAAATTAAATGCAATAAGCCTTTGTAAGAATGGTAAAGAGGGAAAAATTGATGCAGTCCTTAGTTTCATCCATTCAGTTAATATTTATTGAGCTCCTTCTCTGTGTGGGGAGATGTGCTAGGTGGTAGAGATACAAAGTCACTGAGGTGAGAATAAAAATGGAATCATGCTTCCTTCTTCATGGAACTGAGAGTTAACAGTATGTGCTTTGAAATAGGTTAAGCTCTGCACCCCTACTATATGCATGTGAAAACCTTTTTTTTTTTTTTTTTTTTTTTTCTTGAGAAAGAGTCTTGTTCTATTGCCCAGGCTGGAGTGCAGTGGTTTGATCACGGCTCACTGCAACCTCCACCTCCTGGGTTCAAGCAATTATCCTGCCTCAGCCTCCCAAGTAATTGGGATTACAGGTGCCTGCCACTACTCCCAGCTAATTTTTGTATTTTTAGTAGAGACGGGGTTTCACCATGTTGGCCAGGCTGGTCTCGAACTCCCGACCTCAGGCAATTTGCCTGCGTTGGCCTGGGATTACAGGCATGAGCTGCTGCGCCTGGCCTGAAAACTAATTATTAATCACACAAAAACACACACAGCAATACGAATGCTGCTAAAATATGGTTCTAGAAATCCTTCTATAAAGCACTAATTTTTCAGATTAGTGCAAACATTTTAATTTTAAAAGCACACACTATAGATATTTTTAAATGTTTGATTTGATTCTACATTCATCTTGTTTAATCCAGGAATGATAACCCTTTTGAAGTGATGATTAGTGCCAAATCGATTTTAGTGTTGCTATTCGACTTTAGAATTGTCATTTTCAAAACAAAAATGGCTTGTATGTAACACACAAATATTGATGCATATGAAAAACCACTGGTATGGCTCAAGCCACTCCAGAACACTGAACCTTCCTAAGTGGTTGAAGTCTTGTAGCTTTTATTCAAATTAGAAAGTTTTTTGTTTGTCTGTTTTTATACTAATGGAACACGTGTGGTGGGATTTTTTTGTATGTGAGTTTTACATAATGTTTCCATTAAAAAGTGTTGTCTTAGTCTCTGCGTTTCTTTCACACTGTGTGTGTGTGTTTCTGTGTGTACAGTTTCAGATATGTATTAGAGTCTAATTAAACTTCTTATTTTGAGAGGACAGCTTTCCTCTTGAAATAATCCTATTTCTACATTTTTAGGGAATTTAAAAAGTAGAACAGACAGGTGACATGATGGAGTATGACATTGCAGTTGACTGAAATTATCGACAGTTTATACTCCATGAGGGAAAATAGTCTAGAGAACAGCAACTCAATGTATGTACAAAATGAATACTGAGAAAATATATATATATGTATATATGTATGTGTGTGTGTGTGTGTGTGTGTGTGTGTGTAGTTTGTTTGTTTGGTTTTGAGACAGAGTCCCACTCTGTTGCCAGGCTCGAGTGCAGTGGCGCCATCTTGGTTCACAGCAACCTCCGACTCCCTGGTTCAAGCAATTGTCCTCAACCTCCCGAGTAGCTGGGACTACAGGCACCTGCCACCACACCCAGCTAAATTTTGTACTTTTAGTAGAGACGGGGTTTCACCATGTTGTCCAGGATGATCTCGAGCTCCTGACCTCGTGATTCGCCCGCCCGCCTCTGACTCCCAAAGTGCTGGGATTACAGGCGCGAGCCCCTGCTCCTGGTCTAAGAGTATTGATATTTTCTGCAAGGGTAAATTACATGAAATCTCCAATCATGGGAAGTCAGTGGAGTGGAGGATAAAATAAAGCAGAGGAATAAAAGTTTTCTACAATAAAGAGTATTAGCTATCAACAAAATGGATTCTAAGAAGACTGGCTATGATTTATTCATCTTTGTACTACTTTCTCTTCCTTCCACTTACTTCCTAGGCCCACTCTCAAACAATGCCTGTCTTAGTAATAGAATGAACACTAGCTAAGAAGTTAATAAACTTGCATTTAAAGTTCCTTAGGTTATTAGTTAGTGTATGATTACACTAATCACTTAACCTCTCTGGTTCTCAATGTTTTCATCATCATGAGTGATAAGATTAAATGATCCTTAATGTCCATTCAAGTTCCAACATACTTTTTTATGATACTTGAATACATTAGCCCCAGTTTATTTAGCAGCATATTGATCTTATAAAATAAAATGTGAAGACTCCTGCACACATAGGTATTTTTAAAACTTTAGGTTCTTTCAAAGGGAAAACTCTAATAGCAAAATAAACATAGCAGAGATGAAAATGAATAAATATCAATATTTTACTGAAATTAATTATATATGCATAAATGTGTATGTCATGTGTGACTTTCTTTGCTATGCAAATAATAGTCTCAATTTATTTATCTTTATATAACCCATTTTTGTTACAAGTTAGATTTAATGTTAAAATCACCTGAATCACACGAACATTTTGCTTCCCAGGCAAATTGCTTTCCAATTTCTGTAATAAAATATATCTTGAATATTGCTTTTGATTAGAAATTTTAGTGGGTTCATAGGTAAGAAATATATTAGTTGGAACTCATACACAGTTCTTATAACAAGGCAGCACCAGAATGGCTAACAAAAGCATTACCAATAATATAAAATGTACTGAAGTACTAGCTGCGAATATGCACTATGATTATCTAAGAAAGACATTCTCAACACAAAATTAAAATGCATAACTTTTGGAACAGTCTAAGTATAAACCAGCTATGTTCTGAAGGTAAAAGGCAGCTAGGAGATATAAGCCTGTGGCTTCATGAAGGAGTTGATCAAATGTAACCCTATGAATTAGTATAGTGTTCAAATACTTAAATTGTTAAACTTTAAATGCTGTAAACAGTTTTAAAGTTCATGAACTATGGGTAACAAAAGTAATATTTTTGTTATCCTGTTTTATTTTTCAAATTTTTAAGAACAGCAATCACACATTAATTTCACATATAAAATAAAAATCTGAATGTTACATTTTTCTAATTTAACTCAGGGTGGGTCCTCAATAAACAAATGTATTTCTCTGAATAGCAAATGTTGTAAGTAGCTTTAGGCAGCATATCAAAGTCTTATGTGAAAAGTATGCTCTCTAACTCTCACAATTGTTAACGTTTATTTGCAATGAAAGTAATTCCGAATTTTCAGCCTCTTTATGTGAACCTCAGATCCTCTTAGCAGCATTTGTTAGCCTCTCTAAAACACAGAGACATACACAGACATCATCCTCTCGGTAAAATGAGACAACAGAAGAAACACTTCTGCTCTAGGACATCATTAGAGCTGGACAACAGCCTGAAGAGAGAAAGAAAAAAATGTTATACCAACATGCCCTTACTGAATTTTTTTTCTCTTGCAAATATTGATAGCTGTAAAGACTATACAGATAGTTGAGAACATGCATATTTTGTCTTGCAGTGTGTCACTTGACTATCTCTCTTCTGAAATTTTATACTACTGATTTCTAGAATACTGATTTTCTAAAATGTAGCTTATTCTTACCAATAATATTTTAATATTATACATTTCAGATGATTTTTCAGCCATCCTGTTTTCATCAGGAATACATTTTGTGCCAATTAGTTTAACTTTTTTTATTAAATTTAGAGGATGATGGATTACAGTAGGATAATAACAATACACAAAAAAGTTTAATTTAAATGTTTTACCAGTAAAATATATTTTATAATTAAAAATGCAATGATTTCTCTTAAAGCAAATCTCCCTTAATTTTGTGCATCAAAAATGATCAGCTTACTCTTGAAAACCAAGTTCACACAATTTGCAAAACATGTTATTCTCCACACTTGGTGACATATGACGTAAGCACAATCAAGAGCCCTTTGGCTTCTTCCCTACTGCTACACCTATCCACTCCTTCCTCACTGTGAACATGCACAGGCTGGGGGTGCTATAGACTCATGGAAAACCAGAGGGCTTTATGAATTTATAGTATCACCACAGTATGAAAATAACCATTGTGGATACTACTAATTTGTATCTGGTGCAATAATTGGAACCAAGATGCACATTTAATAAGTGGTTTCTATAGCTTTAATTTGCCTGTGAAATGTGACAAATAACCATTCTCAATTTTGGAACTGAAATTGTATTTCAGAACATGGCCAAGACGTACTAAAAGCATAGACATGAGCCCACTGCCTAAAACTCTTCTTTATTTTCAGAAAGGAAAGAGAGTTAGTAGGAAATAAGGGAAATACTTAAATACCACTTTAGTAAACAAACAGAGATTTAACTGCTTTACCTGTCTTTGGGTTTTTAAAGTTGGATACAAAGGACCTTAAAGCGTTCATATTGTCTCCTTAAAACCCTCTACTTCAAACTCACCCTTACAAGCGACTACTCTCCTAGGAAAGAGGAAAAGAAAATTTCCACTGACCCAGCTCGTGATTTACATACAAAGAGCAAATAAATGAATGGAGTGGGGGATGGGGCAGTGAGAAGCAATCTGTTTCCTTTTCAACCGCAGAAAATAAGATTACTTACCAAGAACATTTTTATCCAGGGCAAATGTTTATTCCCTCTATCATTCAGCGCCTCAGTCTCTGCAAGAAATCAATTTCCACTCTACCTTTCCCTCCTATTTCTAAAAAAGAGAGTGAGGCGGATAATTCTTAAGCTTCGGGGTCCGGAGGAAGATAGAGCTAGAGCGGAGGGCAAAAGACTCCCACAGCGCTCTTTATACAGATCCGAGCTCTGAGAGCGAACCCATAGGGAGGGGGCGGGGGATCTTCTCTAAGGCGAGTACTCCGAGTAGGGAGGGGGATTCATTCTGCAGCCAAAATATAAATCATCTACAAACAGATTACTAGCCTCTCAGTCACACAGGCAGTTCCCTTGGGAAGCCGGTTTCAAAGAGGAAAAAAGAAGTTCCTGGAGACAGAGAGAGAGAGAGAGAGAGAGAGAGAGAGAGAGAGAGAGAGAGAGAGAGATTGGGGTTTGGGCTTGCAGAGGGAATGGGCCAAGGAGAGGAATAGGGAGAAGGAATAAAGCTAATCTTACCGATCGATCAGGCGATCGTTTGTTCAGTATTGGGACACGAAAATGGCAAGATAATGCATTCGGCAGCAAAGCCATTTCTAGCGCACTCTCCCTCAGTAACTGCAGGAATCAGAGGGGAAGCAGGCGCCTCGAAACCTACCACTTGCTCCCCAGGGACCGTCCTCAGAACCTCCAAAGCTCTAGCTTCTAATGCAAGGCGTTCGGAGCTGAGGGTTCAGATGGAAGTCAATTGCCTTGAGTCACGGGCAGCAGGAACGCCAAGGAAGTGGGACCTGGGAGGGCTGCTGCCGCCGCTGCTGCATCTAACCAGGGTTCCCGGTCCCCTTGACTAAGCCTCCCCGGCACAGCGCCCCCGAAAGCGCCTAGCGACTCGGCCTCCTCCGCATCTTCAGCCCTTCGATCACCACCCGCACCCCCCCACCCCCCGCCGCCTCATGCAAATCGCTGATGATCTGGTCATCGTAATGTGACCATAGTGGTTTATTTGGGAAGTGGGGGAATTGGTTGTGTTGGGCTTCCTTACAACGCCTCCCTCAGTTGCTGCGAGTGAAAATGTTCAAGGGAAATACTAGTGAAATGCACTGATGGAATACTATTAATCCTAATAATAATGGTCCCAACGCAGGTAACTCTAAAAGAACTGAGAGTGGGAAGATCAGAGCAGGATTTCCGAAGTGGTGCCCTCTTGAATTCTCATTGGATCCTCCCCAGCAGCCTAAATCATTCTTGCTGCTATATCTATCAGGATGACTACAGCCTTGCTCACTAGTTCTCTCTTTATCTCCTTGTCTTCAACACATCCTTTTACTTCTCTTTGCAGATTTATCTGTATTCCACCTCCTGTTCTCTGGGGTTACACAGCTTTTTCCTTTCCCCACTGTATGGGGATGTACAGCCTGTAAATTTTCACTTTGCTTAAGGATCACCACGAATCACCCCCCCCATTCTCTCCCCCCCCCCCCCACACCCATATAAAGCATTTTCACATTCTGCTTTCTTGCCTTGGGGGTTCGTGGCTCTCTGTGTAACTGGCTTTTACTTGGTTACATGCCACCAGGAACTGCTGATTATTTTAAAGTGCCACTACCCTGCAGCTCACTACTTTACCTTGATTTGGAAGATCATGGAATATCTATTTGAATCCTGGATGTATTTTTCTCACAGTCTTCTTGCTTCCTGAAATTTCCTCTGGTAAGTTATTCTCTTTATCTATTACTAGAAACTTAACTAGTGTTATTTTTAATAAGCTCTGCTTTGTTGAAGTATTTCATTTTTCACATTTTTGTTACTTTCGGAAATGAAAAATCCATATGACTATATTTATTAATTAGTGTGTTAGTGGCAATTGCACTACTAAGACATATCCCATGTCATGTATTACCCCAATATCCCATGTATTACCCCAATATCTTTTACCTTCTTTATTTTTTAAATTTCTGTCCTCATTTACATTACAGTTTATGTTGACATTAATCTCCCCTACCCCCATTAACCCTTCTTGGCACACATTCCTGTGCCATTTGAAAGGTCACATTTTATATGTTTATCTAAGAGAGAGCTTAAAAGAGACCTTCTGACAATTGCAAGGTCTGGAAAGTTCACTAGTCTGATCTTCAGAAGGTTGTTCAGGTCAGTATTTGTTCATGATAAGCAATTACATGACCGAGGGAGGACTTTGTTACAAAGTGTATTTTTATGAATTTAGCGGGACCTTAAACACTAAAATGCCACTGAATGGTAGGAAGAGGACTGTGAGTTTTGAGGGCACCATTTTTTTTTTTCTTAAAATATTTCAGATCACACATGAACGCGTTATTTTGGGCATTGTATTTTAATTCAGGCATAGTATTTGTCAGTACATTTCTGATTTTGTGAATTAGCTGGTGAAGAGTTAATTGGACACAGAGTACTCATTTCAGAGAGGAGCTATCAGAAGAAACCCCTGATTATCTTGGTTCTGATAAATTGAAATTCAAGAATAGACTACATGAAAAATTTAATTGCCTCACTCTTCATACTTGTCTACCCCCACCCCCTGTGTTTAATAGGCATGTTAATATGGTCAGTGCCTTTTGCTTTTATGAACATTTCTATGGACTTAACTGACAAGATTATCAGCTCCCCTTCCATATAGTTATGTTGAGAAACATTTTAATCTTTACTTTTACTTCACATATTGACACATAATGAGAACACCATATTCATTTAAATGCCAAACCTGCATGTATCAGTAATTTCTAACACCCACTGAGGGTTTTCTCTAAACATCCGCCCACCTCCCCGAAATTAAGGACAAGTTCCTGGTTTCTACAACATTTCCTTTTATTGGGATAGATGGAGGTAAGAACCTATTGTTCACGCTTTTCTTTTCTTTTCTTTTTTTTTTTTTTTAAATTTCTGGGAAAGAACTATTCTTGTCGTCATTGATGACTGACGCGACAACCCAAGCAATGCTTTTTTAAATTCAAAAGCCCTTTTAGCTCCCAGACATAAAAGTACTCCAGCTGCAGCGTCACCCCATCCCCCAGTCTCGGGATTCAAGGGCTTTCCCCCCTTGACTCCCACAGAGAGGGAACAGGGCTGAGACTGTTGTCCGCACCACTTGGCGCCCCTCACCCGTCACTAGGTCACTAGTTTCTACCTGATCTCTTTCCCAGTCCGGTCGTCCTGCCTGACAAGCCAGTGCCATCAGAGTCCGTGACTTCATCTGAAGAAAGGAGAGCTTCATATAATTCAATTCAAACATCCTCTTTGGAGGACTGCCGTTGTTGCGCAAGGGTGGAGGGAGGGAAAAAAAAAAAGAAAAAAGAAAAAAAAAACAACTTTCAGTGCAGTCAGATCCAGTAAGGAACAGACAGTCGGTGTTTAGGTAAGTGCGTTTTGCTGTATTATACCTGAAGCTCAAGCTTGTGAAAGGGAAATTTACATCTGAGGGGCTCCCGCAGCCAAGAACGTTTTAACTGGAGGGTTATCAACAGGCGACTCTGCGTGGAGATTTCTCCGCAGCTCACGGCAACGCCTTTGCCACCTGAGCTCAGGGAACGGAGGAGAGCAGGTACCTTGTTGACCAGCTGGCCCCAGGCTTGGTGTTGATGTGGGAATAACCCGTGCGTGTAGGAAAGGTGTCCCCCACTCTGACCCGCTAGCGCAGGCTCTGCACTCAGCCCCTGCGGCTAACGTGTGCTTGGTGTGGGCATTTGCAGCCCGACAGAGTGGGGTGCGCCAGGGGGTTTCCATCCTTCCAGAATGCTCCATTTCCAACCTTCCTCAAGACAAACTTGAGCAAACCTCTTCTATATGAGAGAATAGACTTAAGATCTCCGGAGTCTCTTAATACCTTTTTGTGTTAATATTTATTTATTTTAATGAGCTATATTTATTGTTAGTAAACGACGATTCCTCAGAATGCCTGCTTTATGAAACCCTAATCACTGTCCTTGTCTGACTGCGAAGTAGAGCTCAGAACTGTTGAGTGACTTCTTAGGCTCTGTGTTAAAGTATCATTGCTGACGGTCACTCCTTCCTTTCCTTCACCAACTCCCAAGAATCTGGAGGGCGGTGAGCGGAAGAGAGTTAAATTTCAACTTCAAGCTAGAGCTTGGAATATAAGGCTGAAGTTAAAAGCAAAGAGTGAGGATTTGGAATCTGTCTAGCTTATACCCACTTTAAAGTTGGTCTTTTATTTTTATTTTCCTCTTTCTGGAGGTGGGGGTGGGAAGTAGAAAGATCTGGGACTGGGAGCGCTCTCTTCCAGCGTCCACCGGAGAGGGGGTGGTGCTTCTTGGCCGCTGGTTACTGCTGGTTCCACAGCCAAACAGTGACAGAGAGTTGAAGTCTCTGATGGCTGTTCTCCTAGTCCCCAAGAGATGAACCGGAGAGCCTTTCACTTTGCACCAGGTCGAGAACGTGATCAGCCCTTTAGAGAAGGAACCTCCTTGTAATAGGAATTCTACTGGGAAACGCCGTGTAGGCACTATCTCCGAAGATAAGATGCGTATTTGGAGCTGTGTAAGATGCCCACCGGCTGTTTGAAAGGAGGAAAAGGTGACTAGAGTTGCAAATTAACCTTAGTATCACTGAAAAATACTCTATCTAGTCAAATGTATGTAAGCAAAGAAGAGAGCACCAGGGTATAAAACTGCCACAGAAGCTTGAAAGACAGATGATTCAGATTTTGGGGACTTTCTTTTGCGTGTTACATAGATTTGTTTGTCATCATGCAGTTAAGCAGGTAAGGAATGAATGTATTTTCTTGACAATCATACAACTTGTGTTTTACTATCATGTGATTTTTTTTCTGTGTTGCAAGCAATGGAATATCTGCATTTTCAACTGGTCCTGCTATGATGCATAACTTCTTAATATTCACATTCATGAACCAGGGTAAAGCAGTTTAGATATTTAACATGTATTAATTTAACTGTTTGGTGTGCATTTATTTAAATGTGTAGCCATGTTACAAAAATCATAAATTGGACCAAGGTTAGAGGAAGAAATGGGAAGGGTAGAGAGTTAGAAGAAGAAATGTATAACCTTAATAAAATATGGAAGATGGCAGTTGCAGAAATGCATTAAAAACATTGCTTCTTGTTAAGGTCCCAGACCTTAATATATAAAGGACAAGTGAAGAACTATTAAGGGTTTCTTGAACTAACAAAGTAATTCTGACTACTTGAGAGAACTGTTTTGTGGGTATTTTCACTATTTTCTCCACCTTAAGAAAAAAATATATGAGGTGGGGGTGGGTTGGGTTGTAAAATAGAATGAAAAAAGAAGCTTGCCCAAGGGCAGTGTTGTGTAGGACCCCAGTATAAAATCTTTGGGTTTAGAAAAACAGTTGGAAAACTGAAAAAAAAAAAGAGAAAATTTTGGGTTTTCTTTCCCAAATAAATTCCTTTCACATTCTCAGTTTTGTAGATTGAGCAGCCAATAGATTTCTTCCACTATCAGATTTTTCTCAATTAAAATGGCAAACACATTCTGAATATTCAAATAAGTTTTGTTATTATTATTGATATTACTTTGTTATTTTTTGTTAATATGTTGAAGGAGCCTGGACTTTCCACACAGTGAAGCAAAAAAAAAAAAAAAAAAAAAAAAAATTACTAAAACACGATCATAAAACTCCTCTACTTGTTAATAACACTTTTTCTTCTCTAAGAAATTGTATTATTTAAATTATCTCTGGTAAATAGTTTTAGTACTTACATTTGTTGATATAGATCCCTGATCAATAATTTTTCTGCTAGTATGGCTTACTGATAAAATCTTGAAGAAATAAGAAAGATAATTGTAACTTTGGGTTGTAAAATTGCAAAGTTGTAGTGATTTTCTCAGTCGGATGCAGAAGGTAGTTTTTACTCCACTAGAGAAAGTAATTTGTCAATGAATTCTAATTCCCCAATACTTTTGT